AGGGGCTGGTATTGTTCTGTGACATTGCCCGAGGGGCTGATTCTGTTATTATTGTGCCCTAGGGGCAACTATTATGTGTGTACCTTTTTAGTTGTTTAAATGTTTAAAGGATGTTTATGAGATTTCACTACTTAATTATATTTACTGATTTTGCTATACCTCTTTTAGCTTAATGTTGTGCCTTACGTGGTTTTATATTACTCAGTCTTCATTTATTTTTACTACTCACTGAGTTGGAGTACTCACTTTACTCCCCGCACCCCTGTGTGCAGATTCGGGCGCTACATGTCCTGCTCCTGAGGGTTGATAGTTCCAGCAGGTCTTCGGAGATTTACTAGGTAGCTGCTTGGCGATTCGCAGCCCAGTGCATTCTCCCTCTATCTTAGTTTCTTTTGATTCAGTTATGTCGTAGTGGATTAGATTTCAGACTTCTAATTTTTGTTTTAGATGCTCATGACTGGTGACACCCCAATGTCGGGCTGTGTTGGTTTTTATTTCCGCAAATTATACTGTTAAATGCTCATTTTGGGATTTTATTTCTGATTAAAGACTTAGTAGTTATTGTTTTAGTTGTTTAAAGTGAATTGGAGGTGTGTCGGCTGGCCTTGTCTTCACGAGAGGCGCCATCACGACCGGGTTGGGATTTAGGGTCGTGACAAGTATTTAGTTGTATTATCAGAATTCCATCTTCCGCATTTCTTTTATTATTATTGTTATTCCACTGTTGATCGCCTGTTAATTAAAATTGCTAAAAGGTTGGGGAAAAAGTGTAATAAAATCTGTAACATTCGGCTTGCCTAGTTTTCATGAGTAGGCGCCATCACGACTCCTGAGGGTGGGAAATCTAGGTCGTGACAAGTTGGTATCAGAGCCCTAGGTTGCTTAGGTCTCACAATTCACGGACAAGCTTAGTAGAGTTTGAGGGATCCGTACGGAGACGTCTGTATTTATCCCCCAGAGACTACAGAATTAGGAAAAACTTCACATCTATTCCTTCCTGTCGTGCGACTTCATTTCTCAATGCTAATTAAACTTCCACTCTATTCTTTCGCAGATGGTGAGAACACGTACCGTTTCATCAGATGACCAGCAGCCCAAGCCCCCAGTAGCAGCTCATACGAGGGGCGGAGGCCGAGGCCGTGCTAGGGCCCGAGGCAGAGGCAGAGGCAGAGCTCAGCCCTGAGCTCGAGCAGTAGCACCAGCGGTGGAGCCTCAGGTTGAGTTTGACGATGAGGTTCCTGCCCAGACAGTTCCAGCAGGACCAGCTCAGGTCCCAGAGGGGTTTATTGCTACCCCAGTACTCTAGAATGCTCTGTTCCATCTAGTGGGACTTATGGAGAGTGTCACCCAGGCAGGCTTACTTCCGGTAGCACCAGCCGTCTCTCAGGCTGGGGGAGGAGCACAGACTCCCGCTAACCGCACTCTGGAGCAGATGGCTCCCCAGTTTCTGCCTCCAGCAGCTTAGCCAGTTGGAGCAGTTCAGCCGGGTGTAGTAGCTCAGACCGGTGATGGAGCAGCTATGTCTGCCGAAACTTTGTGGAGATTGGACAGGTTCACCAAGTTGTTCACTACTACTTATGGTGGTACATATTTAGAGGATCCCCAAGATTACTTAGACAGCTGTCATGAGGTTCTTCGGAACATGGGGATAGTGGAGACCAATGGGGTCGACTTTGCTGCCTTTCGTATGTCAGGTTTCGCCAAGAAATAGTGGAGAGATTGTTGTTTGGCCAGACCAGTTGGATCACCAGCTATCACTTGGGACCAGTTCTCGTAGCTATTTCTCGAGAAGTTTCTTCCCTTCACTCAGAGAGAGGAGTACCATAGGGGGTTCGAGCGTCTCTAACAGGGTTCTATGACTGTCAGTCAGCCAATTAGACCGCAGATGGCTAGGGAGACAGGTAGCGAGATTTCTTTCCGGGACCGCAGATGTCATATTGGCGATGGACTGGTTATCACCTTACTACGCTATCTTGGACTGTCATGCCATTACTGCGACCTTAGCCTTGCCGGGTTTACCTCGTTTAGAGTGGAGAGGAACTCCTGGTCATTCCACCCGTAGGTTTATCTCGTATATGAAGGCTCAGCGTATGGTTGATAAGGGATGTTTGGCTTATTTGGCGTATGTTCGTGATTCTAGTGCCGAAGTTCCTTCTATGGATTATGTGCCTGTTGTTCGTGAGTTTCCTGAGGTATACCTTCGGACCTGCCTGTGCGTCCGGTGTTGTTTGTTAAGAAAAAGGACGGATCGATGAGGATCTGTATAGATTATCGACAGTTGAACAAGGTCACAATCAAGAATAAGTACCCGTTGCCGAGGATTGATGATTTGTTTGATCAGCTTCAGGGTGCCAAAGTGTTTTCGAAGATTGACTTGAGATCTGGCTACCATCAGTTGAGGATTAGGGCATCTAATGTCCCTAAGACAGCTTTTCGCACTCGGTACGGGCATTATGAGTTCTTGGTGATGTCATTCGGGTTGACAAATGCCCAACAACTTTCATGGATTTGATGAACCGAGTGTTCAGGCCTTACTTGGATTCCTTCGTGATAGTCTTCATTGATGATATTTTGATCTATTCTCGCAGCTGGGAGGAGCATGGGCAGCATCTAAGAGTTGTTCTTCATACTTTGAGAGACAGTCAGTTGTATGTCAAGTTTTCGAAGTGCGAGTTTTGGTTGAGTTCAGTAGCATTCTTTGGCCATGTTGTATCAGCAGGGGGTATTCAGGTGGATCCGAAAAAGATAGAGGCTGTTATGAACTGGCCTCGACCCACATCAGCTACCGAGATCCGGAGTTTCTTGGGTTTGGCGGGTTATTAACGTTGGTTTGTGGAGGGGTTTTCATCTATTGCATCCCCGATGACCAGGTTGACCCAGAACGGTGCCCAGTTCAAGTGGTCGGACGAGTGTGAGGCGAGTTTCCAGAAGCTCAAGATAGCTTTAACTACGGCGCCAGTGTTGGTTTGGCCCACAGGTTCAGGGCCATATATGGTATATTGTGACGCATCTCGTATTGGACTTGGTGCGGTGTCGATGCAGAATTGCAAGGTTATAGCATATGCTTCGCGGCAGTTGAAGATTCACGAGAAGAATTATCCAGTTCATGATTTAGAGCTAGCAGCCATTGTCCACGCGCTGAAGATTTGGAGGCATTACTTATATGGTGTGTCGTGTGAGATTTTCATGGATCATAAGAGTTTATAATATTTGTTCAAGCAGAAGGAGCTCAATTTGAGGCAGAGGAGGTGGTTGGAGCTTTTGAAAGACTATGATATCACCATCTTGTATCATCGGGGAAGGCGAATGTAGTGGCCGATGCTTTGAGTAGGAAGTCAGCCAGCATGGGCAGTCTTGCATATATTCCGGTCGGTGAGAGACCGCTTGCTTTGGATGTTCAGGCTTTAGCCAATCAGTTCGTGAGTTTGGATGTTTCTGAGTCCAGCTGTATGCTAGCTTGCACAGTCGCTCGTTCTTCATTATTTGAGCGTATCCGTGATCGGCAGTATGATGATCCTCATTTGCTTGTCCTTAGAGACACAGTGCGGCACGGAGGTGCCAAACATGTTACAGTTGGAGATGATGGAGTTTTGAGGATGTAGGGTCGTATTTGTGTGCCTAATATGGATGGACTTCGTGAGTTGATTCTAGAGGAGGCCCATAGTTCCCGGTACTCTATTCATCCGGGCGCCGCTAAGATGTAATAGGATTTGCGGCAGCTGTCGACGCCCCCTTTTTCCTTGCGGAATCGAGTTCACGACATTTGGGAAGACAACTCTTTTCCCACTTTGGGAATTGGGTTTTTTGAGAGTTTGGAGAGTCGCCACCTAATGATTATAGTGCATTAGGACACTTTTAGTAGAATTAAAGATGCAGACTAGAGTTTTGGGTAAGGGCTTGAAATTATCTCGAGGGGAAGGTGTTAGGCACCCCTCAAGATCCACTAGTTTGGTTCCCGGCCATGCTACCATTGTGACTTTAGATGTAAAAAATAAACAAGTACAAGGAGCACAAAAGGTTAAAAGAAGTGCTGAATTTTAAAGGAGCAATTTTGTAAAAAAATGTGCAAGTGGAGAAAAAGGTCAAGTACTTAGTGCAAATAATCCGAAAAGATCATGCGAGAAGCAGGAATTGAAAATGCAATAGCTTTACAGATTCAGAAAATTTTATTAAACTAATAAAGAAGGAGAAAGCGGTCCTAGGTTTATCCATTACATGGATCATTCGCACAACACTGGTACTCAATTGTACGCGGAGTGTTAACGTGTAGTCATCATCTCCATGTCTACCCTTCCCACCCTGTTAAGGTATTAAAGCGCGGAACGGTATCGTTTACTTATCGCATGCTACTACCCGTCCCAATCCTCTTAGTCCCGGGGTATTAGGACTTCTAATCCTAAAGGGGAAGAAAGGGATGGGGGCTTTGTGGAGTTTAAAGGATAAAATTCTAGCTCGACATTCAAAACAAGTATCAAGTAAAAGGGGAGGACAAGCAAGCATACAAGGTTCAAATTAACCCCAGAAGTCAAACAATCATTTAGTTTAGCATGCCTTGACAAATACTGATTTGGTCTTAGATTAAATTAAGCAGCGAGCGGACTGGTTCAACACATGTTTCTAAACAGAGAGTCTGCATTAAGCAACTCGGATACAGTTGTCAGGGACTGACCCAATTCATTAATTAGCCAACCCTTGTTTATGAGTTGAAATAAAAATCCTAGGCGTAGGATCTATTAATTTCAGGAAATAAAACAGTAGCCATGACTTAATATGAAGATTTGAAATGCAAACCTAATTCAAAGACTGTAGCTGAAGAGATGATGAACAAGATTGGGAACAAAAGTCTGGTTCCTAAGCATGCTCAGAATCAAATCATTAGCCAAAGCAATAAGGAAGGTGCAAATCAAAGGCATGAGGCAAATGGGAAAGACATGGATGCTGAATCAACAATTTAGAATTTTATCAATGTAGCAAGACAAGGGGACATTTCTCCTAGGCAAATGGAGGCTGGCAAATCAGCTGGTAGAGGCAAAAAGAAACAAGCAAGGGACACTACTGGGACTCAGGTTCCAGGAGTCCAAACAAGGAGAACACTTTCCAAATCAATTAATTAATGATGAATGCTCTGATTTGGAACATAAGATCTGTTAAGACAATGCAAGCCTTTGAAAGGGTTATCACAATGGATAGACAATACCACTTTGATTTTATTGCTTTGATGGAGCCTAAGCAGTAGACAAGAACAGTAGATCAATATAGGAGGAGACTTGGCTTTGAGCAAGTAGTGGTTAATATGTCAAATAAAATATGGATTTTCATAGATCAAAAGTATGACTTTGACATAATGGTCAACATGGAGCAACAGATCACATTAAAAATGACTGACACTGATAGCAATAAGGAGTTCATCATCACTATGGTGTATGCTAAATGTGATGCAATTGAGAGAATTGAATTATGGGATACCTTGTACTCATTGGCTTCTGATATGTCTTTACCATGGCTTGTAGGTGGAGACTTTAATGTGATATGGGATGAAGAAGAAAAATTTGGGGGATTACCAGTGCATATTAATGAGATAGATGACTTTAGGCACTGCATATCCACATGCAGCTTATTTGATCTTGGATTTAAGGGAAGTATATTCACATGGTGGAATGGGAGGGCTGAGGAAGATTGTATTCAAACGACTGGACAGATGTTTAGGTAACATGGAACTTCAAAAACTTTGGCCAGGCTTGGAGATCAATCATCTACCTAAGATTGGTTCAGACCATTGTCCTTTACAGCTCTCTTATAATCCTAACAGCAGGCCAATCAAAAAAGCATTCAGATTTTTGAACTTTTGGATCAAACATGAATCATTTTTAGATGTAGTCAAAGAAAATTGGCAGGTTTTATTTTCAGGCAAATCCATTCATACTGTTTAATCATAAGATGAAAAAGTTGAAGAAATCTCTATCTATATGGAGTAAAGTTACTTTTGGTGACATCTTTAAGCAAATAGCTAGTTTGGAGGAGGTTGTCAAGGTGCATGAGACTCAGTTTGAATTGAATCCATCTGTTGAAAATCGTGCAAGACTGCAAAGAGTTCAAGCAGATCTGATTAGAGTATGGGCTCTAGAAGAAGATTTTTGGAAACAAAAAGCAGGTTTGGCTTGGTTTAAAGATGGTGATAGAAATATAAAGCTATTTCATATTCATGTCAAAGGCAAAAGAAGGAAGTTGCAGCTCAAAAGAATTCAGGATAGGCATGGTATGTGGGTGGAAGAAGAAGAAAAACTGGCAGAAGAGGCTGTCCATTTTTATCAGCAGCAATTCCATGAATCAGCTATTCCTACAGACTTCAGAATATTGGAGATGTTCCTTTGATGATGAATGAAGAACAGAATTGCAGATTAACAAGTCAACCAACCATGGAGGAGGTTAAGAAGGCTATTTTTGGACTAAATGGTGACAGTGCAGGGGGTCCTGATGGTTTCAATGGAAACTTCTTTCAAGCTTGTTGGGGAATCATTAAAGATGATATTTCGGGAATGGTGAAAACATTCTTCAATGGCCAGGAGCTACCTAAATTTGTGACACACACTAATCTAGTCCTATTGCCAAAGAAGAGAGGTGTAGACTTTTTCAGATCTAAGACCAATCAGTTTGAGTAATTTCTCAAACAAAATTATTTCCAGAGTTATACATGAGCGGATGGTTGATCTATTACCTAACATTATATCAGATGTACAGGCTGGTTTTGTGAAGGGAAGGAGTATTATAGAAAATGTGTTGCTTACACAGGAAATAATTACTGATATTAGGCTGAGAACTAAAGCAGGTCCTAATGTGGTGCTAAAGCTAGATATGATGAAGGCATATGACAGACTTTCCTGGCTTTTCCTCACAAAGGTTTTAAGGAAGATGGTCTTCTCAGAAAGATTCATTGGTTTGATATATGGTATTGTTTCTAATAACTGGTATTCTGTGCTTGTTAATGGGCAACCACATGGATTTTTCAAGTCATCTAGAGGAATAAAGCAAGGTGATCCATTATCACCTACACTATTCATACTTGTTGCAGAAGCTATGTCAAGAGGACTTAATGCATTACACAGTAATCTGCACTTTTGTGGCTTTGGTATGCCTAAGTGGAGTCCTAAGATAAACCATCTAGCCTATGCAGATGACACCATCATATTCTCATCCTCAGATGCTACTTCTTTGAGCCTTATTATGGATGTGCTGAATTCATATGAAGCTGCCTCAGGTCAATTGATCAACAAGTCCAAATCTGCCATATATGTCCATCACTCTACACCTGAAGAAATTGTGAGGAAGATTGAGAGGATTACTGGAATAGGGAAACAGGAGTTCCCACTAACCTATTTAGGATGCCCTATCTT